ACCTTGAAGTGTAAACTTGTTTAATAAACCATATCTTTCATTTTCGATTTTTAATTCACGTAGTCCGGGAACTTTCCGGACAAACTGTGTATTATACTCTACGTTTACATGTGTGATTCTTTTATAGCGCGACGTCAACGATTACGGTAGCGCCGCAACAAAAAAAAAATAACGGCTCGGACAATGATAAATCGTCCATTATTTTTGCCGTCCACAGAGCGCGGGGGGCTATTTATCGTAATACTACCCCAAAACTTGTTGCAACTGACGGGACGACGCCGTTGAAGCGAAATTCAGCGCGACGCGGGAGTACACGTCGCGTTGGTTGTAAAGAGAAATAAAAATTTATCCACTCGCATCATAAATCTTTGCGGGAAATTATTTCTTATAAACGTTTTAGAGAGTTACCCACTGCGCACTTCCACCACGCACCACGACAATAGCGGTACAAGCGATATATATCCCCGGAGCAACTTCGCAGGTCGAAAGATACAAACGAGAACGAGAACCTATTGATGTCGATCTTTGATCTTTGTTCCCATGTACACATGTATCACGTGGCTGACAGATTTAATCATATCCACAAATACCGCAAAGAGAGAGAGAATATACCGCTTACCCTTTATCATCCAACAATTCCGCAATGAAGCGCACAGGAATGTCCGTACTGCCGTACACGTGAAATATATATCGTATACATACCGCGTGTGTTGAAACCCACTTTCCGACGGTTGTAAAAATGTTCTAACAACCGCACGACCAATTTAAACTCTTAGCAAAAATTAGTTTATTTTTTATTAATTCTGAAATAAGGAATTAAATATTCTTTACTTTAATGTAAATTAAACGGTGATGTTAAGATAAAATAAAATAAAAAATTAAATACAACTTGTTTATTCTTTTTCTTTGCATTCCTATAACAATTAATATACACATATTTGTCGTATGGTTGCAACTGCAAATTATTATCGAGATCTATTCATAAAATTGGAAGAGTCTTTTTATTGATTTTTATCCATATGAAACACATACATTATCCAATACATTTTTTATACAGATAATAATCGGCTAATAATTAATTATTAATATTATTAACATTTAATCAAACAGATACTCAATTTTGTCATGACAAATTAGTCCGTAAGCAGATAAGATTTATTTGTACATATATGCAATCGTCGTCACGAATGTACAAATATCGATTTACCAAACTTCACGGCAAACAAAATAGAGAAAACGTTTGCGAAACGTGTGCGATTTTCGATACAGTTGCGTACACACATACGTACGATTAATATTTCTGAGTTTGATTATCATGTGCACAATTATACGTAAAATAAAATATACAAAACTTGTCAAAATACTAAAATATATTTCTTCTCAAGCTAAAATAACATCAGCTGTTTTAAGGCACGTATTATTTGCATAAAATATTCTAATTTATCGGGAGGGTAAAATAATGAAACCGTAGTTTTGTCCATAACACGTAATCACACACACTAAAATGTTTTATCGTCCGCTGTCCATGTCTGTGTTGTTAATTCATTTCAATTGTTAGATTACAGTACTATACTTTATATGTTGCAGTACTATTATGTTTGGTTCTGTCATGATTAGTCTTTCTTGTATTGTATGATCTAGAACTATATATGTGCAAAACGCGATTATTACTTGATGTTTTGTATTTAAAGAGATTTTATAATATATATATATATATATATATATATATTATCAATTATATATATATATATATATATATATATATATATATAAAGTTATTAGAGGTCATTTAAATTAAGATGACTATTCGATTTTATCGGGACAACTTCAATTTTTGATCTTCCGTCTCGAAATTTGATATAAAAACTTTTTGTATCTGTATATATGCAATAATCAAGAATATACACAGAAATGTAATAGCATTTATCTCTTTTCATGCTCTACGGTTTATACTTTTTTTTTGTTTTTCTATTTTGCTTATCAAAAGTAAAGTGTCCTGAAGTCGACAATGGAAAATTATCTTAATTGAACGCGTAACAAAACAAAAATATAATAACAAGTTTTCAATTTTTAAAATCGATTTTTTCTAAAACTAAGCTTTACACGACAAATTTTTTTTCTACAATTTTGATTTAAAGAATAATTTTTTTTTAAATTTTAAACATAAAAAAATACCTTTTTCTATGACAGTAGAATAGACATGTATTACCGTTTTTACACGTCTTGTGATTGTTTAGATTTTTTTGTTTTCGTTTTTTTTGTTTTTGTATTTTTCCACCAAACACTAAATTTTGGCTTGCGTTTCTTCTGTTTCTTTATTTTCTTGTCGTTTTTTATTTTTCTTATCTCGTCCTCATCTGTTTTCTCACCTCTTCTGTCTTTTTCGACTTTTTCGTCTGTTTCATTTTTTTTGTTTTCTGAACTTTCGTCTTTTATCATTTCTTTTGAACAAACATATATCTCTTTTTTATCTTTTTGATTTTTTTCGTCCTCTTCGTTTGAAGTTTTGTCTGTTAAAATATTTATTAGACAATTTGTAACTTTTTCATTATTTTTGTCTTCTAAATTGTCGTCTATCATAATTTCCATTGAAGTAAAATCTGTGATTTTTTCAATATTTTCGTCTTCTGAATTGTTGTCTATTGTAATTTCTATTGGACTATCTCTGATTGTTTCAATATCTTCGTTTTTTGGACTATTTATTGTAATCACTGAATCAGAATGTGTGTCTTTTTTATCTTTTTGGTTGTTTTCGTCTTCTTTGTTTATTAGAGACGTGCCTGTTAAAATATCTATTAGATACTGTGTGTCTTTTTCAATATTTTTGTCTTCTAAATTGTTGTCTATTGTAATTTTCATTGGACTAGAATGTCTGATTTTGTTAATATCTTCGTTTTCTGGTCTACTATTTAGTGTAATCACTGAATCAGAATGTGTGGTTTCTTTATCTTTTTGATTGTTTTCGTTCTCTTTGTTTATTGGAGACGTATCTGTTAAAATATCCATTAGATAATGTGTAACTTTTTCAATACTTTCGCCTTCTGAACTACTATTTATTGTAATCGCTGAATCAGAATGTGTGTCTTTTTTATCTTTTTGGTTGTTTTTGTTCTCTTTGTTTATTGGAAACGTTTCTGTGAAAATATCTATTGGATAATGTGTGACTTTTTCAATATTTTCGTCTTCTAAATTGTTGTCTATTGTAATTTCCATTGGACTATCTCTGATTGTTTCAATATCTTCGTCTTCTAAACTACTATTTATTGTAATCGCTGAATCAGAATTTGTGTTTTCTTTCTCTTTTTGGTTGTTTTCGTTCTTTTTGTTTATTGGAGACGTATCTGTTAAAATATCCATTAGAGAATGTATAACTTTTTCAATACTTTCGTCTTCTGAACTACTATCTATTGTAATCGCTGAATCAGACTGTGTGTCTTTTTTATCTTTTTGGTTGTTTTTGTTCTCTTTGTTTATTGGAGACGTTTCTGTTAAAATATCTATTGGATAATGTGTGACTTTTTCAATATTTTCGTCTTCTAAATTATTGTCTATTGTCATTTCCATTGGACTAGAATCTCTGATTTTTTCAATATCTTTGTCTTCTAAACTATTTATTGTAATCATTGAATCAGAATGTGTGGTTTTTTTATCTTTTTGATTGTTTTCGTTCTCTTTGTTTATTAGAGACGTATCTGTTAAAATATCCATTTGGTAATGTGTCACTTTTTCAATTCTTTCTTTTTCAATATTTTTGTCTTCTAAATTGTTGTCTATTGTAATTTCCATTGGACTAGAATCTCTGATTTTTTCAATATCTTTGTATTCTAAACTACTATTTATTATAATCGCTGAATCAGAATGTGTGTTTTCTTTCTCTTTTTGGTTGTTTTCGTTCTCTTTGTTTAGTGAAGACGTATTTGTTACAATATCCATTGGATAATGTGTTTCTTTTAAATTTTCGTTTATTGCAATTTCCATTGAACTAGAATATGTATGTTTTTCAGTATTTTTGTCCGTTTCATGGTTTTTAGTTTCTGAACTTTTGTTTAGCATACTCACCATTGAATAAAAATTTGTGTCTTTTTTATCTTTTTGGTTTTGTTTGTCCTCTTCGTTTATTGGAGTCTTGTCTGTTACAATATCCATTGGATAATGTGTGACTTTTTCAGTATTTTTGTCTTCTAAAGTGTCGTCTATTGTAATTTCCATTGGACAAAAATATGTGTTTTTTTTCTCTTTTTTGTTATTTGTTTTTAGAATCTTGTCTGTTATAGTATCTATTGAACGGTAATCTGTTTTGTCTTCGTTTTTTCTGTCTCTTTTGTTATCTTTGTCGCGTGGATCTTCTATTGTAATTTTGTTTTGACACCTGTGATGCAACACCATGCTTGGTGTAGAGACTGCTTCTGCACAATACTAACATGTATTTTGAATAAGAATAAGTTTTTTTATGCTACCTTAAATTTTTTAATAAAAACTGACAAACTCGTCACATACATCTTAACCTACACACTAGGCGCATTACATTTTACTCGCAACTAAGAGCTATATAACCTTTGTTTTAATTTTACTTATAGTTTCAAAGTAACGCAAAATTACATTTTAATCAGTTTGACCGCCGCCGTATTCATTTCAAGATTAAAACGAGCACTGTATTCGCACGTTAATATAAAAACTTACCTTGCATGTGTAAGGTTTACTAGCACACATATATTTTTTAACATGACTGTTGAATAATTTCTGTGTTTCGAATGTCAAGTGACAGTAAATGCACATGATGACAGTCTAAGAAAAAAAAGTAACAATTATCGTGAGTAACAATACGCGCTTGTTACAATTACACTTTAGAAATTTTCAAAATACTTACAGTAGTTTCCATGCGTTTCTTGTAAAAACATGTTGCATGATGAGCGGCGAGTAATTCCTTTGTCTCAAAGAAATACATGCAGAAAGTACATTGGTGGCAAGAGGATAACTTTAAAGAAGATAATAGTTGTTGTAAATGTAAAACACACGAGTTTATTTCATTACATTTTCTAAAATATCTTCAAAGAACTTACGGACTCGTCGCTTTCTTTCATTGTATTTGCACAATAACAACGCTACGTGTGTCTTCCGTGATTCGCATATATTTGTATTAATAATTGCAATAGAAAATACACTCGACGCAAGTAACTTCTATGAATATCTAAGATAACAATTATCGGATGTCTATACTTCGTAAGAGTCGACGAGAGAATCCGTTAAATCGACGGAAAATGATTTCGGTTATCCCACTACTAGAGGACTCTCATCAGCAATTTCTGAATTGGAAATTGCCAATGGTAATCAAGAGATAGATTTAGTATTTGTG